GTGTTTGGCCAAAAAAAATTTTTTTTATAAAAATTCACCAACCTACGGTAAAATGCAAGTTTCTTCACTTTGATTATTTTGACGAGAGCCTGATTCCACCACGCTGCCTCACAAATTCTGAGATCCCGCTTCTTGAATAACGTCACAATGTTGGAGGGGAGGCATGCCAGTTTGTCACAGGCCCAGTTTGTCACAGAACCAGTTTGTCACGGAACCAGTTTGTCACAGGTCTCGACTGTGCCCTGCATGATGGAAGTTATCACTGGCCCTCTCAAAAAGAGTAAATGAATGATTGATCGATTGTAAGAATTGAATTTTATTTTTCAATTGTTTTTAAGGAAAGAACATTCAATGCTGAAATTTTACAGAGTAATTTGCTTTGATTTGCATACAAAAAGGAAGAAATATTGAAAAACACAAGCTGTATTGACATTTTATATCTCTACACCACCAATTTGAAGGGGGGGAATAAAAAACTTAAATTAAGTTACAACTACAGTGTTAAAGTGCTGCAATTATGACTGTCATCAATACTCAAATACTTAAATGAAATTGCCACAAACTGGGCCTGTGACAAACTGGGCAGCCCCCGTTTGAAGGGCCTAAAGCTATCCAATTTTGCACCTTTTTAAAAAAGATTGCACAATACATCATTTGCGGGCGTATTCGTATTCTATTTAACTAATTTTCTCTTTTTCACAATGTAGCCGGTGGTCGATCGCGATTTCTTTCTTGTAGGCCTTGATACGTAATTTATTGAGCCCTCATCTGATTTTAATAGATATTTAAAAGGTGGAGTCATTAATACTTGATTAATTATGTGAAGCCAAACCTGCCCCCTCCCCCTTTCCCTGGCAATTCTGATTAGCTAAACGCTATCACATGAGAGCCGGGTGCAAAAAAGGATTACGAATCTTCAGCAGTTGAAGATGTGCTTTCCTTTTCAAAGTTTAAGGTCACTCTTTACTTAGCAATTGTAAATGAATAATCTCCTCTTCTACCTCGTGTGTGTGTGTGTGTGTTTATTACCATTCTTCACTGTCTGTTTTAAGGAGGGGAAAGGGTGGTAAAAACATTAATTATATAGAAAGCCTTAAAAAGCTCTTCAAACACAAGTGAAAGCAACAACTCGCGGGCGGAGAGCCAAAATGACCTTGTCCATTCTAACCAAAGTGCCTAAAAATAGCATAATGGAGGCATTCAACGACATTGCAGTATGACTATACTATAATTGATATGAAGCTAATCCGCCATGTAGTTTTACCACAATCACTATTCCTGATGTGTTTATATCCAAGAAATGTCTTATAAACCTCGCACTAAAAATCCCGAAAGCAAAGAATATGGACAAAGTAACCTCTAACATTCTTCTTCTTCTTCTTCTTCATCTTCTTCTTCTTCTTCTTCTTCTTCTTCTTCTTCT